CGGAGTTGTCGATGGTCGCTTTTTGAAAGTGCACCGCGAAACAAGAGCATTACGAGCATAAGTACGCCGATACGACACCGCTTATAGAAGTCGTGAAAAATCAGAGCGAAAGTAATGTGAACTGTACCACCAGGGTTGTATTCGGGAGCACAATTATAATAATAATAACTAGTGGTCCCTCAGTAGTCGAAATTCGACTTTAATTCATTGAAATTATAAGTTTGAACATTATTATAGTTCTTTTGTCCAAGACTATATGTATGTACTTCTATAATCACAGATTTCGCCAAGGCTACACTATAGACAAATAATTTTAAAAACAAACAATAATAATCTATTCTCAATTTGACCATGAAATTTAAACAATAACTAAAGTTTGATAATATACAAAGAGTTTAAAATAATATATGTGTTGTGTCAAATACATGGTAGTGTGCGTAATGTTTTTTTTTTTATTGATTTAATGTATTTTAATGCATAATTTAAAAAAAATATTAACATTCTGCACTCCTCTACATTCTCTACAAGTGTGGGGGATTTCATACTCCTCCGTCGGCGCAATTTTCGTAAAAAGAGGTACAAAGTTTTTGCTTCACGTATTAATATATGGATAAGCTAACATTGCCCATCAAGAATTTGCTCTAAAATATTGTTTTCATGATTATTCTGTACCTTCTTACCGATACCAACCTTAAGTAGTTTTCAAAAATGCTCATTTTACGCTTTACTGGGGCTATTGTTGCCAATAAACCAGATATTGTGATAATAGATCGATCTACGCATCGAGCAGTATTGGTTGATATCACCATTCTTCATGACGAGAACCTCGTGAAGGCAGAAAAGGATAAATTAATAAAATATTTAGACCTGGCCAACGAGACTATCGGAATGTTAATTCAACCATCATTGTTCCAATATTTGTGTCAGTACACGGTTTGACAGCGAAAAGTTTCGACCAATACCTTAAAAAACTTTCGTTATAGGACTTGGTTAGAGGCCTGGTACAGAAAGCAGTTATCCTTGATCGGCGCTTATTATGAGGATAATTCTCATTCTGGATTCGGATGGCTTGTGTCGTAGACACTGCTATCAGCAGCAATCTATGTTTATATACATTTAAACATTATATACTTAATATTCTTGTTTTAAATATAACTAATAATTTTTTTAATAAACATTGTATAATATATTAATAAAAATTAAAACAGAATAAGTCGCGTTTGGGTCGCAGTTCGCCACCACCAGCATAAAGGGCTTTGACCCCTCCACGCCCAAACGATTTGTTTACTAAGCTAATGTATATATATAAGAAATTAGTAAAATTATATAATATGACTCGAAGAGCTTGAATTCAAACCGAAGATGGTTTGGTTTTAATCAACGTGGTCTCTACAGAAATTCATCAGACAATTCAAATATTTCAATTAAATTAATGTTTTTCGTTGACAGGTTTCTAAAACTATACATTTTTAATTACGATAATGCTATTTACATATTTATAAAGTGATTGATTAACGCGAACCTTCATACCTCTACTAATAATAAAATTAAAATAAATATTTAGGTGCTAATCAAATTTACTGTTACTTTCAAAGTTCAACTTTGAGAAACTTTGATTTGTTTATATTTGGTGTTTACGAGTGGATCTTTTTTTTTTTTAAATCCTAAATACTGTCTCTTGGTCATATTAAAGTAAAATGGAAATGAAATAATTTTTGAAGTGAAAACTTCTTTAGAATCGTTGTGATTTCAAACCGGATGCAACGGAAAAAACGACAGGTAAGAGGCACAAATATAAAAATGTGTAGGATGAAGCCAGCAAAGAATGAGACAGAAATATACATACTATTTAATACAGCGCCATCTGTGAGATTTTTTAATACTAACGTGTGTATGAAAGCCCTTGTAGTGAAGTTTAATTTAGGATTATACGTGAAATTAAAATATCAATTCACAGAGGGCGCTACCTTACAATTATTTACTAATGACAAAATTTTACATATACTTAAGACGTTTAGGATCATTGTATTTTAATTTTGGAAGGTTTCACTTCTACCACGTGTGAATTGCACACATTTTGTTTTTTTTTTTTGTCAAACCCGATAACCTAAAACAGTTCGATTTTTATTGCCATTATAGGTATGCGAGCCGACGGTCTACCTGATGATAAGCACATAGCACCGTTTACGGAAATCAACAATATTGCAGGTAAATTTCTTATCGTACTTGCAAGAAAACGAAACGAAGGTCTTTGACCGCCAAGGAAGATCATCTTGCCTATTGCAGCCGTTTTTAGAATCGAGACTCTGACGTCATATCTCTAGGCGGATAGCACCAGTTGCGTTGTTCAACACCATGTTGGACATAAACTCGTCCATCTATGTAAGTGACAAAGAATAAAGTCTTGATACAACGATAGGCAGCGGCTTGGCTCTGCCCCTAGCATTGCTGAAATCCATGGGCGACGGTAGCCATTCACCATCAGGTGGGCCGTATGATCGTCTGCCTACAAGGGCAATAAAAAAAAAACTCGTTGCAATTTAATTTGTCAAAGATTTTGAGAGGTTATCCACTAACAACTAAGTGATGTTAAAAAATGTGTACTCTAGTTTTGTTTGGGGGGCTTAATAGTACCCGAACCCCTGACTGAGTGCAGCCCACGTACGTTGATTGGCCGAATCGAACCCGCCGACCGAAGTTACGAACCCGAAATGTATGACATACAAAACGGGTCGTTAAATGTAACGGTATTGCATCACTTAATCAAGGTCCGCAATTATAATTATAATTTATTTATTTATCGGATCAAAATTAATGGGTCCAATCTCGTAATTGTATCAAAACGATTATTTTGTTTGTACTCGAAAGTACACTGTATTTCCATTTTAGTATAGCACTAAATTATACAGAATTTCCTTAAAAAAATCTTAAAAAATGTATATAGGACATAAGAGTCGACTATTATCAAAGCCGGCAATGTGACTTTTGGACAATTATTGGTTAATCAGAAAAACGAATTATTGACTTTGTATTCCATTGGTAGTCACAAAACTCTTCTGAACGACATCTTAGATAAATAACAGGTTAAGTATTAACCTTTATTTAATGCAGGTGTAGAAGTAGTTGTATTAGTTCTGCTTCTAACTGTATTAGGTAGGCGCTGACACGAAGGGTGTTTTACACAGTGAGTATGAATATGTACTGCTTTGAATAGTTTATTGTAGATACAAATATACACTAACAAACTATGACACAAGTGGTATGAAAAAGAAATAACATATAGGAGTAGTAAAGCACTGACACGAACGATGGGTAGCACAGCAAATATCGATGAGTACTGCCCGCAGTTTTTTCAGATTCCGAAGTGTTAAACAACAAAAATAGATGATTGCCTGAATTCATAGGCGACAGCGATTTTGTCGAATTGTAAGGCGGTTGCCCAAGTAGTGGCGAGTAAGTGAGTCGCCACATCACTCCCCCGGCGAGACCGTGACTACGGTCGATAGTAGTCAGGCAGTTTAATCTTTCGGCCGCTTCTTGTGGTCTTTTCAACAGGCTTGGTTGGAGATACACCTTCTGGAACTCTCGTCATGTAGGCCGGCTTCAGACGATCTATGGAGACATTTACAAGCTTCCCTCGAACTTCGACAGTGAAGAATTTTGGCTGCCTTTTGACAACCTTGAAGGGACCAGCATATGGTGGTACCAGAGAACCACGCACATGATCTTGTCGGATGAAGACATGGGAGGTTGTATGTAAATCGCGAGGTATATAAAATGGTGAATTGCTATGCCAGGATGTCGGTCTCGGTGTCAAATTCGCCATGCATGCACGTAGACGAGTTGCATACTGGGTGACGTCAGACACTTTGTAGTCTTCATTTGGTGAAATGAATTGACCTGGCAGACAGAGGGGCTCGCCGTACACCAGCTCTGCAGGAGATGCGTCAATGTCATCCTTCCAGGAACTGCGCATGCCCATCAGTACGAGAGGAAGTGCTTCAGTCCATTGCGAAGGTGTATGGCACATGATGGCTGCCTTCAACTGGCGATGCATTCGATCGACTATTCCGTTGGCGGCGGGGTGATATGCGGTAGTCCGGAAGTGGTGAGCACCTATTAATGCAGCTATGGCTTTGAATAAGTGGCTCTCAAATTGACGACCGCGGTCGGTAGTCACCCGCAGTGGACATCCAAATCTGGCAATCCAGCCGGTAACGAGGGCGGCAGCACAAGCTTCAGCTGTAATTTCGCTGAGTCGTATCGCCTCAGGCCATCGGGTGAAGCGGTCAATAACAGTGAGGCAGTACCTGAAACCAGCAGACAGATTTAGGGGCCCTACGATGTCAAGATGGATATGAGTGAATCTTGACGAAGGAGTAAGGAAAGAGGAAAGAGGAGAAACTGTATGACGAGTTACTTTACTTCTCTGACAGTTTAAGCATTGTCTTGACCACTCTCTACAGTCTTTCCGAATCCCTGGCCATACAAATCTTTGCGCAACCAGTCGGACTGTAGCTGACGATCCTGGGTGATGAAGTCCATGTAGTGTGTTGAAGACTTGTCTTCGCATATCTTTTGTGATGAATGGTCGTGGAGGGTGCACACTGGTGTCGCAATAAACGGNTGGGCGCTAACGAGCTGTAATCGAGAAGGCCGCACATATACCTACCACCAACAATGAGAGCTTGCGATTTCGAAGGATTCACCAAAAGACCAAAGGACTTGGCCCAGTTGTAAATCGCAGAGAGATCCACGTTGATTGCCGAAATGGCAGCCCCAACGTCAGCAACCCTCGTATGACGATATAGCTGCAAGTCGTCTGCACAGAGATGGAAGTGTGAAGATAAAGATTGAGAAATTGTGTTTATAAACACAGAGAAGAGGAGAGGAGAAAGTACGCCACCCTGTGGAACACCCGCAGTGAGGTCACACCACTCAGAGAAAGACTCTTCATAGCGAACCGACTGCGAGCGTCCACGGAGGTAAGAATTAAACCACTATCCTTTAATCGTAGCGACTGCTGTTTGCACGTTCACAGGCAGGCGACTGGTCCAGATGGTTATTATAAAATCAGATGGAACGTCTGAACCAGCTAGAGTTGTCAAGTGGCGAAGAAACTGAGACGGTTTCCGATCTCCGAGTTCTTCGTGCATGAGGAGTTGTCTTACACGCTTCTCCTGTGATATTGATAGTCGCTTGATCAGCTCTGTTTTGAGTTTTTCGTATTTATTTGAAGCTGGCGGTTTCGTTATGATGTCTCTTACCTCCTTGGCGTACTGTGGTTCCAGGTTCGCTGACACATACGTAAACTTAGTATCGTCCACAGATATGCCTGAGAGCTTAAATTGCATCTCTATCTGGCTAAACCACATTTCTGGGTCCTCTGAGCAGAATGGCGGAATGCGCACACCAACTCTGTAGATTTCTTGAGACATCTTTGGATCTTCTTTTTGGGCCATACCCGATAAATATTTAAATACGCTCAGTACGTGTGACTTGGACCACCGGCTAAAAATATTTTGCGTCTACCTTGTTGAATAAAAATGTTATAGCCGAAAACGATAATGTATATATTATGTAATTAATTATACATAAGATCCACTTATCTTCGGTTCTTCTTGCTGTCGAGGGTCACCACTGTAGATGTAGTACTGTATTAGTTCTGCTTCTAACTGTATTAGGTAGGCGCTGACACGAAGGGTGTTTTACACAGTGAGTATGAATATGTACTGCTTTGAATAGTTTATTGTAGATACAAATATACACTAACAAACTATGACACAAGTGGTATGAAAAAGAAATAACATATAGGAGTAGTAAAGCACTGACACGAACGATGGGTAGCACAGCAAATATCGATGAGTACTGCCCGCAGTTTTTTCAGATTCCGAAGTGTTAAACAACAAAAATAGATGATTGCCTGAATTCATAGGCGACAGCGATTTTGTCGAATTGTAAGGCGGTTGCCCAAGTAGTGGCGAGTAAGTGAGTCGCCACACAGGTTTTGAACCGTATTCTTTGAAGGAGACGATTATATTCAAATCAATCTGTATTGACATATCAATAACATTTTTTTGTCCAAATGCACAGATTGCCACCTTTGATAATAGACGACTCATAAATGGCAATACCGCTGTTATCAAACAAATAATTAGATCTGTATGATTCGATTTTAAAATACAGGTTTTGGAGAATAATCAGCTGTAGATGCTGGTCTTACGGATTACACATCCCTCTCGACTTAAATAATTATACATACTAGTGATCCCCAGGTAGTCGAAATTCGACTATAATTAAGTGAAATTATAATAATTATTATAATATTAAGTTATAAGTTTGTACATTATTATGATTCTATTTTCAAAGACTACATATTATACTTATTTAATCGCAGATTCCGCTAAAACTATGTATACTTTAGACAAAAATTAATAAAGACAAACAACATTTAATCTATTCTCAATTTGACCACAGACTACACGTATAAGCAATAAGAAAAATTTGACAATAAACAAATAGTAGGTATGCATGCGTATTTGTGTCAAATACATGGTAGTGTGTGTAATGTTTTTTTTTTATTGATTTAATGTATTTTTTATGCATAAATAACAAAATATTAACATTTTGCACTCCTTCTCTATATTCTCTATAAGTGTGGGAAATTTCATACTCCTCCGTCCGCGCAATTTTCGTAAAAAGGTGTACAAAGTTTTTGTTTCACGTATTAATATATAGATAAGTTCAAAGATTATCGAAGTCAATCGCGCAAGAAAACAGCCAATGCATTTCACAATTCGCTTTGGTGTCAAAATGAACAAATTTTATTTAGTTTGTATTGTCACTATGCATATTTTTCAAGTAATCGTTTTTGACAGTTCTATATAATTTCGATATTTAATAATAGCTAGATGATGACCGAGCTTTGCTTGGTTTTTTTTTTGATTTACGCCATCTTGTCGCGTCTCTAAAGCGGTTAGTTGCCCTCAATTAAGAAAAATAGTATTATTATTCGCCAATAGCTGTCGGGAAGAGTTGATTATTGAAAACGTGAATAAAACAACATTTTCTGAAAATAAATCGTAGCTAGATCGATTTATCGCCCCCGAAATCCCCTGTATACTAAATTTTATGAAAATCGTTGGAGCCGTTTCCGAGATTCAGATCATATATATACCTATACAAGAATTGCTTGTTTAAAGGTATAAGAATTGCCAGACAAACTGTGATCTCGTCTGATAATTAAATGTTTTTGGCGCTCTACGAGTTTACAGAATTTTTTTTTTTGTATGACACCTCAGTTTTTTTTATTGGTGTATATTATTCAATGTTATATAAAACTCTAGTTACGAATTGATATTTTGGAGAAAAAAAACACACACACAAACAGATCTTTAAGCTTAACCATTGCTTAAAAACATTTTGCCGGTAACTTTAAATATTCCGTTTCCCCTTTCGAAAAGTCAATAACACAAAAGTTCAAAGGCAAAGAAGTCATAGAGCGATGCTATCTAAGAGTATTTAAAAAAAAATGTAATTTCACGGGACTGGTGCCCAATTCTATTGTCAACTGTAATGAGCTACAGTTACGTGTGTGCCCGTCCGTACTTGCGTTGTAACAATGTATACATACGAGACAATATCTAATTCTAGAAATGTTATTTTTTTTTTTATTGCTAAGATGGGTGGACGAGCTCACAGCCCACCTGGTATTAAGTGGTTACTGGAACCCATAGACATCTACAACGTAAATGCGCCACCCACCCCGAGACAAGTTCTAAGGTCTCAAGTATAGTTACAACGGCTGCCCCACCCTTCAAAACGAAACGCATTACTGCTTCACGGTAGAAATAGGCAGGGTGGTGGTACCCACCCGCGCGGACACACAAGAGGTCCTACCACCAGTACGAAAGTGTGTTATTTAGGGCTACGGTTCCAAAGTTTAAATGAACAAAAATAATAAAAATTAACGACAATAACCGAAAAATGGTTACAGTTTGACCAAATTTCGAGGTTTTTTTTAAATGCCCATAATTTCCAAACTGCATGGGATAGATTTTTTTCTGATTTTTCTCATGATGGTTACAATCAATCCTGTCACCCCGTTTCGGCTTGACGTCGAGTTCTGGGACACCCTGTATATTAAAAAATAACCCGTGTTGTTAAGTTGCTTCAGTCCCTGTTTTCGCTTCCGGTGCGCTTTTCCAGCTTCTTAATTTAGTTGTGGATTTCAGTGTAGAAAAATCGATACTGCCATTCTCGGCTACTCGGATATAGATATTGTAGCATTTTCCTCTAAGTTACCGTTAAGTCACTGGTTGTAGGGGATTTTCTAAGCCCTTAGATACTACTCTGTGGTCTATTTTTGCCAATCAGTCAAGTATTACGGTCGAAAGGATAAACTACCTTCACGGTTTGAGATAGTTTTAAAAACGCGAAATTAATCCGAAAAAGTACTTTTAATTAAGTCTAATACGCGAAAACCGTAAAAAATACTACCCTCAATAAGACTAATCTTAGATCACAGAGTAGGCACCAGCATACACGTTGCAGTAGTTATGATCTATTTATTGTAAATCAGAATATATCAGTATTGTATTACCCACCTGTGTAGATTCAAAACATGAGTCAATATGATATATATCAAATAATTTTGATGAATTATTTTTAAATCTCATTCGATTTCAAATTAAATAGCTCTCAATTAAAGTTGATTTTTATTTATTACATTTCGAAAAAAAATGATTAGAAGTTTCAAATTTAAATACATAGTTCAATCCTTACTCTTCGACTCCCGTTAATGCCTCCGGATTAGAGAGCATTCCACATTCACAATTGCTATTCCAAGACGGTCGTCCATACAAATGGTATTGCTCCATATTTATACGCAGGTCATTTACCTAACTGCAGGCACAGGTCAGATCGAGGTCAGTAAGTGTCAGCACTTGTCACTGACCAGAATGCCTAAGCAACCTTCGGCGGGTTGCACAAAAGTGCGTGTGTGTCAAGTCGTTGAACTCATTTCGTGTTTTATAAGCAGTTATATTTCGCTTTTTATTGTGAAAATGTAAGAAGAAAAAAACTAGGCTTAAAACAATCGTGTAAATCGATTGGCTTAATAGTCAATTGCATATCAGTTACGCCATACAGAAAATGCGAATAAAAGATTATTCTGAAAGATCATCATCGAGGTGACATTAGCCACATATTTTTGTGGTGCGTTCGTACTTCGAAAGTCAAATTATCAGCATAAAATATTAAAATCGATTCCGCGTTCCATTTATTTACGAGGAGCGATGTAAATGAGACGTAAGTTCTCTCCGCTTAAGGGCGCCATGTGTCATGATGGCGTCGAACGCGATGTCGTTAGCGCGATTTATGAAACTGGATCAATCCGGCTATATCTAGTTAGAGTGTTCGGTTATTTATGACCCCTTGCGACATTAATCTAATTGACGTTTAATCACGACGAACTCACGGATCTGTTGCGATTAAAACTGAAGTTAAATTGATGACAACGAAATGACAACATCGCATTTCTGTACATTACAGAAAAAAAAGGTGTCCTGGGACACCGGATAGGAACGAAGCTCCTTATTATAAAAATATTAATTTTAAGTTCTATTCGAGGTATAAAGTAAATAAAACTGGAGATTTCGCAACAACCCACGGTCATTCGGTAACGGGCGAACTTATTGTGGTACACTTCGTTCACGGTTGTTTGCATAAGAGTTAGTGTATTGCGCAAACGAACGCTCTGGGATCGTGGTCAATGAATGATAAAAAAATATGTTATTTTTTATACGTTATTACAAAGTTAAGTCGTACACTGTGTGCATTACTAATCTGTGCGTTATTACAAAGTTAAGTCGTACACTGTGTGCATTACTAATAAAAATCTTACGTTACGGACCTTTTTTTCTCGGTTAGGGTACCCCTCCGCATCGTCCCTTAATATCCCCCTCCTGGCTGAGCCTTTGCTCGCCCACCTGTCCTGGTGAAACTGGAAAGGCCTTCGGGCCACCAGTAATGTCTCAATCATAAAAAAAAAATATCGTCCCTTAAGGAACTTGAACTTGGCCTATTACTCAAGATCCCTACTACAGTGATCGATTACCAAAACGTTCCTATTGAAACGTTAACCTTAAAACTGTCATTGACGAATTCGTTTAATACGAGATGTGATTTGCTTAGCGGAAATCATTACGAGCAGGACGCATAAACTATATTTCACTATGTGTGTTCGACAGTTCGAGACATCAAAACGAAACGAGTTTATATTATGTTAATCACACGTGATGGCTGAGCGTAACTACTCGTGATCAAAATTAGGCTTTTCCGAGGCGGCAAAGCGAAATATCAAAAGAGCTCCAGACGTATTTGTTGTTAGAAAATCGTTTTTAAAGCGATAAAGCGACAAATGAAAGAGTTCTGGATTTAAAGGCTGTGAAAGAATCGTTGG